TAAATATATATATATATATATATATATATATATGGGCCGGTTCCCGTGAGAATGCACCTTGTGGAGAGAAATGAGAATAAAATCTAGCCGTCGGATCTGATGCATCGTGCGGCTCAGATTGCATCCTGCGCTCAGATTTTGAGATAGTGCATTTTCGAAGGTTTATGATGCATTTCAACGTGATGCATTTTCGCACCATTTTGGTGCATCTAATTTTGATGAAATCTTGACCCTTAGATCTCACAATCTAAAGCACCAGATTCATTCTCATTTCTCTCCTAAGATTGCATTCTCACCAGAACCAATATATATATATATATATATATATATATATATTTATTTATATTTGTGGTTGACTTTTCAAATTTGCTCTTGATGTGATTAATATATAAAAATCATCCTAAATAGGACTAAAACATAGATAAAAATACCAAAATATAACTTTCATGTTTTTTTCCTTGAAATAGGACTTTGCATTGTGGTAATGTGACATTATACATATGCACATTAGTATACTTTTTTGGTAATGTACATGACCATGTTTGGTAATATAAGTTTTATTTTGGAAATAAAAACAAGGAAGTCTTATTTTGGTATATTTTTAATGTTTTAATCCTATTTTGGTCTTTCTCTCATTAATATATTATTAGTGAAAAAGTATAATAAGAAAAAGTAGGATAAAAAATAAAAAGTATCAAGAGTAGAAGTGTTCTAGAAAAAAATGAAAGAGAAAGTATTTTATGAAAACCATGGAAGGGATTATTTGTATTATGGAGTGTGATTGTATTAATATTGTTGTGTGACTCGAAACAAAGTCGAGGCATATGTCAATTCTCAAAAAAAAAAAAAATAGAGAGTAGAAAGAAGCATAATGATTAATTAATACTCCCTCCGTCCCACTCTCTTTGTCCACTTACCTTTTGGCACACCATCCAATGCACTTTTTTAATCCATTTTATCTTGTAATTTGAATATTAAAAAATTATAGAAATTATATATTAATAATCTATATGTTAAGACAAATCAAACAAGATCATACATGACTATACTTAGGCTTATACATTGAGAGAATTTGATGAGTCAAAGTGCTTAGATGAACAATTTTAAAAGTCAAAAGTGGACAAAGAGAGTGGGACGGAGGTAGTAATAATGAAATGGGAAAGAAGCAAATAAGACAGGCGAATAGACTGAGATTGGTCATAATATTTGCTACGCCAAGACAAGTTTAAAAACAGTTCAACTTTTTCCTTTTTCTTTTGTGGGTAGGATTTTCTTTTTTAATGCATTACAGGTAGAGAGAAAAGTACACAACACTATGATGCCTCAATGATATCAGTATATCTCTGTCCGTGGGGTTTCAATTTACAATTTCACTGCCCCAAAACCCTTGGGACTCACACGCACTGCACATTGACATTCACCCCCTCTGCAAAGATATTTCACGTGGAAACCATTAACTATTTTTGAAAGGAAAAATTACTCAAAATAATCCCAACTTTACCCGGTCTTTCAAAAATAATCTCACCTTTCACTGTAATGCATAA